TTCCTGCTCCTCTGATACTGCTTGGCCTGCTGTCTTCATCCAGCTCTACACCTTGTTATCTCAGATTCTCCAGCATCGGCAGTTCCTACTATCTCTAGAATAGTTAGGTGGTTGTTTTTGATCAGCATGGTCATGATGGGCTGAAGGGCCTTTATGTTTCCTGTAATTCTGACTTTGTACAATACGGTGGCCATGCAGCATGTAACCCTCTTAAAATACTTGATGCAACTCGGAGTTAGCTTAAAAACCCCCATAAGATTCAGCCCAGTTTAACATAAATATTATGGTTAGGGAAAATATAGTGAAGACACAGATCTGTATGACATAATCCTCTTGATTCTAAGCGATGAGGGCAGAAAGTTAGCTGCAAGGCGATGGACAGCAGTTAAATCGTTGGACCCTGGGGTCTCACCTTTCCCTTTATAGTTCATAGATCATAGAATCCCTACAGTGTGGAAGCAGGCCCTTCGGCCCAACAAGTCTACACCGACCCTCACAGCATCACACCCAGACCCATCCCCCTATAACCCACCTCATCTAAACATCCCTGAACACTATGGGCAATTTAGCATGGTCAATCCACCTAACCTGCACATCTTTGGACTGTGGGAGGAAACCGGAGGAAACCCACATAGACACGGGGAGAATATGCAAACTCCACACAGACAGTCGCCTGAGGGTGGAATTGAACCCTGCAATTGAACCCTGGCACTGTTTTGTGTTTTTGACTGTAATTTTTCTTGTTCATTTGACAGAGAGGGCAGAGAAGAGACTGCAGAGGAAGGAGAGAGAGCACACTGTAGAGGGAGGGAGAGAGAGCACATTGCAGATGGAGGGGAGAGAGAGAGCACACCGCAGAGGGAGGGGAGAGACAGAGCACACCGCGGAGGGGGGGGAGAGAGAGCACACCGCAAAGTGGGGGAGAGAGAGCACACCGCAGAGGGATGGAGAGAAAGAGCACACTGCAAAGTGGGGGAGAGAGAGCACACCACAGAGGGGGGGAGAGAGAGCACACTGCAGAGGGGGGGAGAGAGAGCACACCGCAGAGGGAGGGAGGGAAAGAGAGAGCACATCGCAGAGGGAGGGAGAGACAACACAACACAGAGGGGAGGGAGAGAGAGCACATCGCAGAGGACATGGGTTTAAGGTGAGAGGGGAAAGGACCTGAGGGAGAACTTTTTCATGCAGAGTGTGGTGTGTGTATGGAACAAGCTGCCAGAGGAGGTGGTAGAAGTGGGTACAATTACAACATTTAAAAGGCATCTGCATGGTGTATGAATAGGAAGGGTTAAGAAGGATATGGGCCAAATGCTGGCAGATGGGATTAGGTCAGATTGGGATGTCTGGTTAGAATGGATGAGTTGGACCAAAGGGTCTGTTTTGTGTTGTATGACTCTATAATAGCAATAAGTACAGTTACTGTTCAGGTATAATTACTAATGATTCTCAGGACTTGTATAGACTGCCTGCAGTCCTTGTGAAGGTAAGTGTAGAACTCCCTGCCTCCACCCAAGGACAATGTGTGATTGGGTGGAGCTAATACAACTTCAACATTAACTCTTTCAGAACCGTTCCATTCCTATATCAGTGTGCCTGCACTCCTGCCCTGTAACCCATATTCTGTGGCTAGCACTTACTTAGCCAAAGAATTTTCACACACACTGCTGTTTTTTGTGGATTACAAGATTCATTTGCTAATTTTGTTTCAAAATTTGAGTTTGGAGGAGAAGGGAAAGGATTGGCTGATCAGGAAAAGTAACAAAATGGGAAAGTATTGCGGGGAGTTAATGAACAAAGAAATTTGTTGAACATAATTGGGAGAAGACAGATTCTGGTAGTGGAGGAACCAAACTTTTAAGTAATTTAATGGAGGCAAGACTTCAAGGGAAAAGAGGAAGAGAAAGGAAGAGAACATTGATGTGGCAAAGATTGAAAGCTAAAGTTACTATCAAATGAATGAGTGGGACCAGACACTTGACATACAACATGACAGATATTGGGAGATGAGACAGCAGACACAATATGATGGAGATGAGGCACGCACCTGGCAGGGAGACACCAGGATTGTTTTTGAAAATGAGCCACAGGCGGAAATCCCGGTGGATGATGAGCTCGGAATTGGTCAGGACTGTCATTGTCTCCTCTTCAAGAACATGGCACACATCATATTTGGAAACTGCAATGGAAGCACCTTCAGTAGGAAGGTAAGCTGAAGAAAAAAGTTGCATTGGCTGGATCAAGAACCAGAGGACACCAAGTTAAAATGATCAGCAAAAAGAAGCAATAGTGATGTGAGGAGAAACCTTTCCATGCAATAAATGTTTAGGGTGTGGATACATGGCCCAGGAGCATGGTGGAAACTGGCAACTGCGGGGCTTTCAGATGGGATTTGGATTGTTAAAGAGAGGGAGTGGAACAAAATGAACTGTTCTGGCAGAGAGCCAGCACAAACATGATGGTCTGAACAACCTTCTTCTTTCATTATCCTGTCATCCAATAATTCATTAGGTCATTGAAACTGGCACATCTCCACCAATGTCAATACCTGTCCTGGGAGTGTTTGATGGGACAACAGTGTACAGGGAGCTTTACTCTGTAGCTAACCCTGTGCTGTCCCGGTCATGGGAGTCCTTGATGGGGACAGTGTAGATGGAGCTTTACCTTAACCCCTGTGCCATCCCTGTCCAGGGAGTCTTTGATATGGACAGTGTAGAGGAAGCTTTACCCTAACCTGGTGCCATCCCTGTCCAGGGAGTCCTTGATGGGGACAGTGCAGAGGAAGTTTTACTCTGTATCTAACCCTGTCCTAGGTATGTTTGAGTGTTGGTGACAGTGTGGAGGAAGGTTTTTTGTTGCAGTTTGTTGATCGGATATTGGCCTTACCTTTATAGGCTGTGATTAGCTGAAGGAGAAATTTGAGCAGCTCACTGTCCCAGCGTTCCAACAGGTGACAATTGTTCAGAACCAGCCATCTTCCTTTGCTCATGCTCATCTGTAAATCATTTTGAATCTTGTTCATGTCATCATGTGCTCCACAAGTAATGACATGGATTTTATTCTGAAACACAGAATGGTCTGTCAAACACTGTTATCTGTCTCTCCAGGTAAACTTCCCAACAACAGTCATGAAGCTGAACAGCATCCAGGACAAAGCAGCTTCCTGAACCAGTAGCCAAATCACTGCCTCTAACATTGACTCCTCCACCAGTGATGCTCAGTATCAGCAGTGTGTTCACTGAAAAGGTGCACTGTAATGTTGCACTCCCTGCTCTTGAGTGCAAGTTACATTAGAGCGACAGAGTTCAGCACTTCAGAGACTTTGGCAGAGGAAGGCAAAGAAATGCTTTTGGTTGGTGTTGTCTAAACGTTTTCATCCTCTGGGAATTGATTGTTGTTCTGCAACACGAGAAGAAACATCGAGAACAGGAATAGGAGGTGGTCATTCAGCCCTTTCAGCCTGCTCTGCTGTTTACTCTGGCCATATCTGATCATCCAACTCAACTGGCAGTTTCTGCCTCTCCTCCATAACCTTTGATCCATTTAGCCCCAAGTGCTATGTCCAACTCCTCCTTAAGCCATACAATGTTTCGGCCTCAAAAACAGAAGTTGCTGGAAAAGCTCAGCAGGTCTGTGAAGAAAAATCAGAGTTAATGTTTCAGGTCCGGTGACCCTTCCTCAGAACATTTTGGCTTTGACTGCTTTCTGTGGTGGCACTCTTTGGGTGAAGACATTGTTTCTCAACTCAGCCTTAAGTGGCTCACCTACATCCTTAGACTGTGACCCCTGGCTCTGGACACCCTGGTCATCAGGAACATCCTTCCTGCATTTACCTTGTCTAGTCCTTTTTCAATGAGATTTCACCTCATTCTTCTGAGCTCCAGTAAATATAATCCTAACGGATTCAACCTTTCCTGATACTTCAAGATACACTTCATTCCAGGAATCAGTCTGGTAATCCTTCGCTGCACTCCCTCTGTAGCAAGAACATCCTTCTTTAGATAAGGAAACCAAAACTGCACACAATATTCTAGGTGTAGTCTCACCAGGGCCCTGGACAAGGGCAGCACAAAATCCCTGCTCCTGTACTCGAATCCTCTCGTTATGAAGGCCAACATACCATGTACTTTCACACCGCCTGCTGCATCTGCCGCTTACCTCCTGTGACTGGTATATGACACCCAGGTCTCAATGCACATTCCACTCTCTAAAGTTATAGCTGTCAGATAATAATCTGCCTTCCAGTATTTGCTCCAAAAGTAATTATCTACATTAAATTGTATCTGCCATGCATTTGTCCACTCATTTAGCATGTCCAAATCACACTGAAGCATTTCAACCTCTCATCCAACTTTGTGTCATCTGCAAACTTTAATCTGTAAGGTTATCAAGGGTTATGGACAAAAAGTAAGAACATTGAGTTGAGGATTATCAGAGTAGGCAGGATCTTATTGAACTGTGCAACAGACTCAATGGGCTGAATAGTCTACATCTGCTCCTATATCTTATGGTCTTATAATTCATCAAGGCTCTTTGGACCATTTCCATTTAGAAGGACAAGGGCAGCAGATACATGGGAACACCACCCCTTGCAAGTTCCCCTCCAAGCCAATCACCATCCTGACTTGGAAATATATTGCCATTCCTTCAGTGTCACTGGGTCAAAATCTTGAAATTCCCTCCCTAAGGGCACCATGGATCTACCCACAGCACATCGACTGCAGTGGTTCAAGAAGGCAGCTCACCACCACCTTCTCCAGCAATACTGACAGTTTGATGTTGTAAAAGTGGAAAGAACATTGAATGTGACTGGAATTTAAGCCCTTGAACCTAGTGGCTAAAAGGTGAGTGAATGATCCGGTGGCCAAGCAGATGCTGTGAGCCAAGAGGGGGTTGACACTAGCTTTTTGTGGGGGGGCAGTGGGCAGCTGACGGGAGGGTCCATGATGGCCAGAAGCCAAACCCCACACCCCCCCCACCAACACCGTCCGACTCTGCAACTCCATCCTGCGCCAGTCTCAGCTGATGTGATGCTGAGGCCCACAAAGTTCATGGCTTGACCAAGTCTGTCAATGAAAGACACTCACCTGCATCTGGTGCTGTCCCGCCATCTGTTCAATCCAGTAGAGCGGGTGTGTGGAGAGACTCGGTGAACCATCTTCAGGCAGGAGAAACATGACTGGAACATTCTGCCAGCTGTAGTTGAAGAGGGACGTGATGTTGAGACGCAAATCTCTAGTCAGTGTTCCTCCCAGCTCACAGCTGACCACATCATTCATAATCACACTCAGCTTGTGGGGCTGGAAGAATTTCCACAGGATGGCCCTCTGGAAGGTGGTAAGATGTGCAAATGAGGAGCAAGGAATTGCACTAATCACAGTTGATGAAAGGCCAAAGTACTCTCGCCATTGATTGGCATTCTTGGTGAGAGAGATTCTGAGGTTCCGAAACGCAGGCAACATCTCTAATATGGAGCAACTCTCCCAGGTCTCATGACTCACCCAACTGGGCTTCAGGACAGAGGTATTCTGGGCTGATACGTCATATTTTAGATCCTGGGTCCCTCTCAGAAAGAGCTCCCACTCCAACTTGGTTACTGTGTGCATCACCTTCATGTGGCCAACAGCTACAAGGAATCTGTACAACCGGGCATGTTGCACACAGAGACACCAGCGGAAGTATTTGTAAAGTTCAGACATGAGGTAATACATCAGGTCCATGAAGTGGTCTGTAGAGCGTCCTGTCCCTAAAGAGCGAACTCTCAAATTCCGTTTGGACAGAACTTCCCTCACCACCTTCATGAAACTGGTTTTCGAGAAGTAATACAGAGGATTGAGTCGACAGATCTGAATCAAAGCCCAGTACATTTCAGAGCCGATGTTTGAGATAATGACGTATGGGTCCTCATTCACTCCAATGGCAGTCTTCTTACTTGCATTTAAAATTTTGAGATGACTGTGTATCTGCTCCTTGGTATCCTGACTTTCCACTGCTGCTGTCTGGATGATCTTGTCATTGAGCAGACTCGTAGCAGTTTGGATCACTTTGTCCATCAGCTCTTCCTAATGGGTCATTAAAAAAGCAGAGAAAGTGTTAATGCCACAAACAGCCTCTTATTAACATCTGGGGCTAGTGCCATTCGTGACTCCTCAGATACCGAATCAGTTCATTTCTGAATGCAACAAGATCTGGACAATATCCAGGCTTGGGCTGACAAGTGGCAAAAGTAGCATTCCAAATGCCAGGCAATGACAATCTCCAAAAAGAGACAATCCACCCACTGTCTCTTGACATTCAATGGTGTTACCATCACTGAATCTCCTACTATCAATATCCAGGGGGTTTCCATTGACCAGAAACTCAAATTGGACTCACCATATAAATGCTGTAGCTACAGGAGCAAGTCAGATGCTAGGAATACTGTGGTGAGTAACTCACCTCCTGACTCTCCAAAGCCTGCCCACCATCTACAAGGCACAGGTCAGGAGTGTGATGGAATACTCCCCACTTGCCTGGATGACTGCAGCCCCAACAACACTCAAGAAGCTTGACACCATCCAGCTCAAAGCAGCCCGCTTGAATGGCACCACATCCACAAACATCCACTCCCTCCACCACCGACGCTCAGTAGCAACAGTGTGTACTGTCTACCAAGGCAGGAGAGTATTTAGTGAATGGAAGGACAGTAGGAAGCTCAGAGGAACAGAGGGATCTTGGGGTGCTTGTCCACAGATCCCTGAAGGTGGCAGGACAGGTTAAGAGGGAAGTTACGAAGGTATACAGGCCATTTGCCTTTATCAGTCAAGGCATAGATTATAAGAACAGGGAGGTCATGTTGGAGCTGTACAGGACTTTGGTTAGGCCACAGCTGGAGTACTGTATGCAGTTCTGGTCTCCTCACTATAGGAAGAATGTGATAGCACTGGAGGGGGTTGCAGGGGATATTAACCAGGATGTTGCCTGGGATGGAGCAGTTTAGCGATGAAGAGAGGCTGTTAAGCTCGGGTTGTTTTCTTTGGAACAGAGAAGGTTGAGGTGTGACCTGAGAGAGGTGTATAAGATTATGAGGGACATGGACAGGGTGGATAGAAAGTAACTGATCACCTTAGTTGAAGGGTCAACAAATGAGGGAGGCATAATTTTAAAGTGAAGGGCAGGGATTTTGAAGAAAAATGATTTCACCTTGGGTAGTGGGAGTCTGGAACGCATTACTTGGGAGGGTAGTTGAGACAGGAAACCTCACAACCTTTAAAAAGGTACTTGGATGAGTACTTGATATATCATAACATTCAAGGCTATGGGCCTAGTACAGGAAAGTGGGACAAGTACAGATTTAGAGTAGTTTTTATTGGTGCAGACTCAATGGACCGAAGGGGCTCTTCTGTATTGTATCATTTCAAGATTTTAAGATCATAAGATATAGGAGCAGAATTAGGCTAATCAGCCGATTGAATGTGCTCTGCCATTTGATCGTGGCTGATGTTTCTCAGCCACATTCTGCTGCCTTCTCCCCATGACCCTTGATCCCCTTACTAATCAAGAACCTCTCTATCTCTGTCTTAAATACGCTCAATGAGTCACAGCCCTCTGTGGCAATGAGTTCCACAGAGTCACTATCCTCTGGCACAAAAAACACCTCCTCAGCTCAGCTCTAAAGGGTCGCCCCTTTACTCTGAGGCTGTGCCTTCTAGTCTCTCCTACGAGTGGAAACATCTTCTCTTCTTCTATCTAGCCCTCTCAGTAGTCTGTTTGTTTCAGAACCCACACCCCCATCCTTCGAAATGCTATCAAGTACAGACACAGTCATAGAGTCATATAGCATAGAAACAGACCATTTGGACCAACTAATCCATGCCGACCATGTGCCCAAACTAAACTAGTCCCTCACCTGCATTTTGCCCAAATCCTTCTAAACGTTTCCTATTCATGTATTTATCCAAATGTATTTTAAATATTGTAATTGTACCTGCATCCACCACTTCCTCTGGCAGTTCATTCCACAATTAACCACTCTCTGTGTAAAAAGGTTGCCCCTCATGTCCTTTTTAAATCTTTCTCCTCTCACTTAAAAAGATGCCTGGAAAAGACACTTGCTATTCATCTTATCTATGCCCCTCATGATTTTATAAGCCTCTACACATTCCATTGAAAAAAAGTCCCACCTACCCAGCCTATTTTTATAACACAAACCTTCCAGTCCTGGCAACATCCTGATAAGTCTCTTCTGAACTCTCTCCAGCTTAATAATATCCTTCCTATAGCAGGTCAACCGGAACTGCACACAGCACTTCAGAAGAGGCCTCACCAACGTTCTGTACAACCCCAAGTCCCACACTCAAAGGTCTGAGCAATAATAAAGGCAAGTGTGCTAACGATTTCTTAACCACTCTGTCTACATGTGACTCAATTTCAAAGAAATGTGTACATGAACCCCTAGGTCTTTCTGTTCTACAGCACCACCCATGGCCCTACCATTAATTGTATACCTTCCCTTGCTGTTTTACCAAAATGAAATACCTCACATTTATCCAAATCAAACGTCATCTGCCAGTCCTCAGCCCATTGACTCTATTGATCAAGATCTTTTTATAATCTTAGATAACCTTCTTCACTGTCCACTATACCATCAACTTCAGTGTCATCTACAAACTAACTGACTGTGCCTTCTATATTCTCATCCAAATCCTTTATATAAATGACAAACAACAGTGGACCCAGTACTGATCCCTGTGGAACACTGCTGGTCACAAACCTCCAGTCTGAAAAACAACACTCCACCATCATCCTCTGTCACCTACCATTAAGCCAATTTTGTATCTAGTTGGCAAACTCTCCCTGAATCCCATGTGATATAATTTTACTAATCAGTCTACCAAGTGGAACCTTGTCAAAGCCTTTACTAAAGTCCTTGTAAACAGCGTCTACCTTCTGCCCTCATCAATCTCTTTGCTTATGTCCTCAAAAAACTCAATCAAATTAGGGAGACACGATTTCCCTCACACAAAACTATGTTGCTTATCTCTAATCATTTCTTGTCTCTCCAAAAGCTACATTATAAATATATTAAAGGGAAGAGGTTTACCAGGGAAAGAGTAAGACCCATTAAGGACCAAGGGGGCAGTCTGTGTGTGAAGTCGCAGGATATTGGAAGGGTGTTGAATGAATACTTCTCCATTCTTCACTCTGGAAAAGGGGAACATAGGTACAGAATTCAGGGAAAGGGAGTGTCAGGAACTTGCATAGTTTGACACAGGAAATGGGAGGTATTGGAGGCTTTATTGGGCTTAAAAACACACAAATCCCCTGACCTGAATTAATTGTATCCCAAGTTGCTGTGGAAGGCGAGGCAAATGTTGTTAGTGGGGGATGCAGTGATGGTAACACCATTGAATATCAAGGGACGGTGGTCAGATTGTCTCTTATTGGTGATGGTCATAGCCTGACATCTGTGCGGCACAAATGTCACATGCCACTTGTCAGCCCAAGCCTGGATATTGTCCACATCTCGCAGCATTTGAAATGGGACTGCTTCAGTATCTGAGGAGTCACGAATGGTGCTGAGCATTGTGCAATCATCGGTGAACATCCCCACTTCTGACCTTATGATGGAGGGAAGGTCATTGATGAAGCAGCTGAAGATGTTTGGGCCAAGGACACTACCCTGAGGAACTCCTGCAGAGATGTCCTGGAGCTGAGATGATTGACCTCCAACAACCATGACCATCTTCCTATATGTCACGTATGACTCCAACCACTGGAGAGTTTGCCCCCGATTCCCACTGATTCCAATTTTGCTCAGGCTCCTTGATGCCACACTCGGTTGAATGCAGCCTTGGTGTCAAGGGCTGTCACTCTCACCTCACCTCTGGAATTCAGCTCTTTTGTCCATGTTTAAACCAAGGTTGTAATGAGATCAGGAGCTGAGTGGCCCTGGCGGAACCCAACCTGGGTGTCACTGAGCAGGTTATTGCTGAGCAGGTGCTGCTTGATAGCACTGTTGATGACACCTTCCATCACTTTACTGATGATCGAGAGGAGACTGATGGGGCAGTAATTGGCCGGGTTGAATTTGTCCTGCTTTTTGTGTACAGGACATACTTGGGCAATTTTCCACATTGTTGGGTAGGTACCAGTGTTGTAACTGTACTGGAACAGCTTGGCTAGGGGAGCGGCAAGTTCTGGAGCACAAGTCTTCAGTACTATTGCCGGAATGTTGTCAGGGCCCGTAGCCTTTGCAGTATCCAGTGTCTCTAACCGTTTCTTGATATCACGTGGAGTGAATCAAATTGGCTGAAGACTGGTATCTGTAAGGCTGGGGACCACTGGAGTAGGCCGAGATGAATCATCCACTCAGCACTTCTGGCTGAAGATTGCTGCGAAACTTCAGCCTTATCTTTTGCATTGATGTGCTGGGCTCTTCCATCATTGAGGATGGGGATATTTGTGGAGCCTCCTCCTCCAGTGAGTTGTTTAATTGTCCACCACCATTCATGACTGGATGTGCAGGACTGCAGAGCTAAGACCTCATCCATTGGTTGTGGGATCGCTTAGCTCTGTCACATGCTGCTTACGCTGTTTGGCGTGCAAATAGTCCTGTTTGGTGGCTTCACCAGGTTGACACCTCACCTTCAGGTATGCCTGGTACTGCTCCTGGCATGCCCTCCTGTACTCTCCATTGAACCAGGGTCGATCTCCTGCCTTGATGGTAATGGTTGAGTGGGGGATATGCCGAGCCATGAGGTTACAGATTGTGTTGGAGTACAATTCTGCTGCTGTTGATGGCCCACGGCTCCTCATGGATGCCCGGTCTCAAGTTGCTAGATTTATTTGAAGTCTGTCCCATTTAGCACGGATGTGGATGATCCATCTTGGCCTCCTCCAGTGGTCCCCAGCCTTACAGATACCAGTCTTCAGCCAATTTGATTCACTCCACGTGATATCAAGAAACGGTTGGAGACACTGGATACTGCAAAGGCTACAGACCCTGACAACATTCCGGAAATAGTACTGAAGGCTTGTGGTCCAGAACTTGCCGCTCCCTTAGCCAAGCTGTTCCAGTTAC